TATTAGTTTTTGGTGTAATAAATTCATTTTGCTAATAATTTTTTTCTATTTTATCAAATCATAGACAATATTAGTCGGAAAAATTGGTTTTACCGGTGATGATTTACAAAAAGACAATATTGTGACCTTGTTTTTAGTTTTTTTTTTTTTGCTTTGGTTACTATACTAATAGGTAATGCTTTATGTAATAAAAATTTTCATTTTAATGAACATTTACAGTTTAGTGAAACAAAAAAAACACGAACATATCTTATCATTAAACATTAATCAACGAAGATATTGATGTCAACCTTTTTTTTTGTTGCTTTTTTCTTCTTGACAACTTCATGTGAGAGATTGAGGTCAGTATTGTGAATCTGTGTAAAGTTGATTTATCGGAGAAAAAAAATCAAAGATTAGACTTGATTAATCTCTTAATTCCAAAAAACACGAAAGGCCTAAATAATAAAATGGGCTATAAGCCCAAAAATGAGCCCATTAAACCTTACAACGATCAACACGAAAAAAGGAAATCTCACAATCGGATGTTACCCATGTCATCTATCTCCGGCGAAAATGGAGGAACAGAACGACGCCGGCGCCGGAGAGAGTAGTTTGTTCGATGGATCAGCTCACTGGTGGTGGGCAATCGGAAGCGGAGTCCAAATCGGATGGGGAGTGAGATCTATACGGAGAGGTTACGCCGGCGACATGCGGCTAATGCCACTTAAAGCCTTCGGAGTCGCATCACTCTTCGTCGGAGCTATAGCCACCACCTCCGTCGCGTTTCTCAGCGCCACGGGGATCCACACGGTTAGTTCTTCGTAAAAATCAGTCAATTCATTTCTTTCTTTTGTGTGTGAAATGTATCAGAGAGATTCGAATCCAATTTGATGATGAAGAACAAAAAACGCAGGTGCAAGATGCGATTGATTTAGGTGCTAATATAAGAACGATTATAGGGAATCCTTCTCAATTACCGGAAAAGCAAATCATCACCGGTAAAAAAAGAAACATTTTTTTTTCCGACCAAGATTGTCTCTTTGTAAAGTGAGGGCTTTTGGGTTTTAATTGTTTCTTTTGTATGCACTGTGCAGAGACGGATGATTTATCATGAACAGATCATTGAGAGACCTAATTGGTGGATCGATTCGTGTGTGAAATTTTCATAAAGTTGTGTGTCTAAATCTTAGATGATATCTTTAGGTTCTTCTACTGTTCTAGTGTTTGGTCTTGTTCGAATATGATGATGACAAAATAGTTTCCGGAAACAATACAGCTTCATTCAAAAGAACGATCGATACATCTTGCTAGTTACTACTAGCTAAATCATTTGAACAGAGCGGTTATAATATAAAATTAGAGACGAAATCGATGGAAAAAGAGTTCACTACTTCTTCTTCTTCTGGAGAAGTTCAATGAGCGAAGTGACGGTCTGGGTAAGGGTCAGCAGCAATATACAGATCGCGGCTATGGTGGCTGTTCCTTTCCACATGTTGCTGAAATACACTCGCCTAAGGACGCCAAATGAATTATAGAATGGGTGCTTGTAGCGATCATTGACACTCTTCACCAAATCAGAATAGTAAGAGCCATGGTCCACGACTCCCACACAGAGCTTGTTTATCATTTTAGTCACCAAACCTTGGTGCCCATTCCAATGCTTTATTATCCCTTACAAAAACCAAAAACCATCACGAGTCAATACACTCAAATCGATTCGCATATATACGCATATATGGTATTTACCTTTCTCGACGAGCAAATCGACGTCTTTATCATTGTCGACAAGGAAATCCAAGAACACGACGTAGCTACATACATAAGCATTGAAAGGGTAGTGACATTGCTCAAGAGCCATTATGTTTCTAAGTGTTATCTCCACTTCGTCATCAGCTAAGAAACAGGGTATCTTCAAACAACCGTGCTCGAATTTCACCTCCACAGACGAAAACTCTTCGAAGAATTCTTCTTCTTCCTTTACGACCTCAAAGTTCACTCCCTTACTGTATAGCTTATCCGCATTATGCATGTGGAACGTGTAATTTACCTCTCTATCATACTTCTGAAACTTATCCACGCGGACACTCCTATACAGATCAGTGAAATGTCTGAACTTTGTGTTGTTCTTGAGATTACTCTTTCTCAATCCAAAGTGACTAATAACAAGTGTACGGAGTGTCTCGTCGCGACGGAGTAATGGAACAATTGGATCAAAGAGTTTCTCGAGGATGAAATAAGGAAGCTGGTTCTCGAGCAACATGAGATCTCTCTTCACTGTGTTTTCAAGACAAGGCTCGTCCATGAGAGGATCCCCTGTTCTCTGTGGTCCTATTATGGAATACCTCAACATGATCTCTATTATGAAAACAGAGTCGTGCAAGATCATCTCCACGAACTCTGGAGATTTAATCCAAGCCGTTGATTCTGAGTAGCTTGCTCTAATTATCGCTTCGTCTTCTTCGATAATTCTCCTGAACTCATCGATGGTTTTTCTCCCTTGAACTCTTTGTGCGAAGGCCGCTAGGTAAGTCTTCTTGTGCTCTTCCACGTTTATGTAGCCCATTGACTTTGTGTTTGCGACGTCTCCAAGAGCCTTGGGAGCTTGAGATTTTAAACAGTGGTGAAGAGGACCAATCACGGCTAGTTGAGGCGTGTATGCTTTTGGATTTACTTCGCGTATACAGTTTGGGACTCTGTAGATACAACAAAGGTCGGGATTTGTAGGTAATCGCCACATCCCTGGAACCGTTTTCTTCAACTCTTGGATCTTGTCCCGTTCAAGAACCACCATCTGTTTCATTGTTTCCGGGTCAGAGGATCCATTCCTTTCCGCAGACTCTGAAGCCTGACTTAAAATTGGAAGAGTTGAGGAATCCATGGTGAAAGATTGATTAGAAGAAAAAAATAGTTACTTTCAAAATTTTAACTCTTATTCAAAGATGGATAGGAAGGAAATGATGTATATCCGTATTAAATAGGCCATGATCTCATGTGCTTAATCTGGATAAATAGGAAGGAATCGATTCCAAAACAGTAATCATATGCTAGATTCGAAAATTAATTTAGATTAAAAAACCAGTGAAGGAATGGAATGATATTCTCAGTGGGTTCGACATCAATTAATTATGATATTCAATTACAAAAGCTATGAATTACCTTAACGATGAAGGTATAAGATGCAGCTATCAAAATCCACGTTTCACGACTGGTATCAATTGTAAGAGACTCACCCATGTTGGAGTGTTTTATTGATTAACTAATCGCATTTAATAATTCATATTTTTTTTTTCTGTGTTCATTGTGCTTTCTGATTTTGTGAATATACAATTTAAATTGATACGTTTTGAGTAAACACAGTTGAGGCCAAAGTGCAAAGGCAAAACTCTTGGCTTTCACAAAGTGAACTCACAAATCTTATCAAAAACTACGTACTGTACATGTTTATTTTATTTTGGCATCGACCTAGTTATAGCCTTATATGATGTTCAAAAGATTTTTTAGACTATAGTTAAACTTTGTAAGTGCCAGGGAAAAAAGTGTAAGCATAGGTTAAGGCTTTTAGATATGATATACAAACCATTTTGCCAATACTAGTGTTTACAAAAGATTTTTTAAGTTTTGGTTTCTTACCATATTGTTAAAGTTAGTGCGTTAATCTTTGGTTTATTTAATGTTAAACACTACTATGTTTTGTAGAGTTTCCAATGACGTACATAAATGATAATTATTAGAACCTGTAATAGTTATTTTTAATGTTTGCATGGACATACTCCCCGTATCATTTTAAATGATTTTCTAGGAAATTTTTTTTTTAATT